AAATTTGTGGCCTCTGAGAAAGTTTCAGTTAGTTCCCAATTCCAGGTATCAAAATTACTTCAAGATATCAAAACAGAAAAGTTTCATTATGAATTAATCTAAGGGAAAGATTATTTTCGTTGCAGGGTTTTATTGGTAGGTCATGGCCCTTAAGAGCTTTATGGCCATCAAATATAATGTTCTGTAGAAAGTGTCAGTGATTCAATAGGACACATTTTTTATTAACAAATTGATATACGGGACAATTTCACAGGCATTATGTTGCTGAAGGTGCTATTTTTTAAGCTGGAAAATACATTTAGCTGTGTAAGTATGTTCTGCCTTATGATTCACTTTTAATATAGTTAACAGTTTACTTCTCTACCCATGTTCTCTGTTGCAGTGTCCTGTAGAATAACTACTATATATCAAAGATCAGGAAGATGAAACTAGAATTTAATGAATAATTAACACACAGATTTCATAGATAAAGTGCCTTGGAAGCCCCAGGGATGAAAAGTACCATGGAGAAGTACTACGCCGGCAGTTAGGGTGAATTTATGTTGAGCACAGACATGATTTCAGTTCAATTCCTGCTTATTTTTGACCCTTCCCAAGTAGTTACAGGTAATTTATTTAGACTCAGGTTCTTTGCCTCTGGTCCCTGTAATAGGCTGCTACTCTCATGAAGGTATTCTTCACAGAAACAGTCAGTAAGATGAAATAAGAACCCTTATGGCCGAAAAGCTAACAGAAAGCTCCCCTAGGCAAAAAAGCAGCAGATGATGCACTCAAAAATTCTTTTTTATGGCCAAAGAGGGAAGACATAATATATGCATATAAATGTACATGGAACTAAGAATTTATTGTTAGGGCAGTGAATACTTTAAAAGTCTAAGGAAAATACATCGAGCATTTATTGTTAGTCCAATTGCGGTAATACCAACTGATTAAAAAAAGGAAAAAAATGCCTCTTTAATATCCTTACATGAAAAAACCTACAAATATGGATCCCTTTCATTGGGTAATCATGCTTGTCCTTACAACATAGCTTGGACAATGCAGGCTGACAGCTTCCTGCCTCCTGGAGCAGAGGGGCAGAATGTGTTACGGTGAAGCGTCAGCATCCTGCTGTCCTCAACAGGAGGAGAGTGATGCTCATGGTGGGGCTTTCTTCTCAGTGTTTACCTTCTCCTGGGCTGCCAGCTGCAGCCTGGCAGTGGCCCCCAGCCACACACAAAGGGCTATGGTTTGTCAGGCAATGACTGGGGGACAGGGGCCTGTGTGTGTGTCACCCTCTCCCCATCAGGGCCAACCCCAAGGCTGGAGCTGGAGCAGGGGGGCAGCAGCCACTGGCACTAGCACAGGTCTTAGAACAGTGACACCCAGCTCAGGTTCTCCTTTTTCCTTTCTCTCTATTTTATGTTATTCTGTAGTTAGTTTTTCACTAGTAGACTTGGTACTGAGCCACAGATTTGTGATTAATTCAGGTTTTGCTGATTTAGGCTTATACTTCTGGCCAGTCTCTTTTTTGTCAGCAGCAATGTTTATTTCATTATCTGATTTAAATACTGTTGAGACTTGCTCAGGAAGCACAAGCACTGCTTATTGTGTTCACAATATATGACAAGTGATATCCATAACATAAAACATGAACAGTTTATTTCCTGTCACTCCCAAAATAAAAGTTGCTTACAGGTAATGATGATGTCCTTCCTCTAGGGAAAAATTTGGTGGAATCCAAAACCTTTCAGGAAGCTTTCATTTGACAGCTGGATGCATTATGAGGAGTCAGGCTGGACAGGAGGTCACTGAAGCAGCTGTTGAGCCTGGAAGCCTCACCTGCGCTTGCAGCAGGTCACACACAGGGGAAAAGCCCTGGTTATCTTTGAACTTCACTGTCACTGTGCAGGAAGGTGAGATACTAAGATGCTGCTAAGAGCACTGGGCCTGATGAGAAGCATTGTCCAATGCTGCCCTGAGGGTCCAACTCCAGAGACACCATCAGATGGCCCAAAGGCACTCCTACCAACAAATATGGTCATCTGACCTCACCCTTTTACCTGTTTTCTACAATAGGATTGACACAGCCCTTTATACCATATTCAAAATTATCTCCTTGTTTGCCCCTTCTGGCCTCAGAAGAAATCCTTAGTTCCATATACAGGGTGTGTTTTCTTCTATCCTCAGGATGCAACAGTATGCATCTTGAACTGACTATTCTGGAAACTTCACTGACTTGGAAATTGTGTCCTGAAGACAGGTGCTTAATTAGTTTCTTACAAATAATGAAAATAAGATAATTTAAAAATTTGTTTGCTTCATGGCACCAGAAGACCTACCTAGGTTTCCTCCTTTATATTGTTCAATGTTCCATATAAGGCACTTATCCAGGATGTAGAAGACTCAGTTCCCCTTTCTCAACCAAAAGGTTTTCAATTCCATCTCTTCTCGGTCCCATCTTCTTGGAGAATGTCTCACCACTGGACTGTTAGGGGGTTAGAAAAGAGTTCATTTCTCTGCTCTAGCAGTTCTGTCACTGACATGAAGTACTTGACTACTTGACTTCTCAGTGTGGCATGATTGTGTATCCTACATGGCTTTCACAGCTCCCTGTGGGAGAAGGCCTAATTTTGATTTCTGCACCTGAATGGGTAATGCATTTATAAAACACTCATCACTTGAAATTAATAGAGAGACCTCTGGACAGCTAAAGAGATCTTTATTTTCAGTATGCTTATTTGAATATGTGATAACCATCAGAAATCACAAATTTGAACTGGAACAGGTTGCTCAGAGAAGTTGTGGATGCCCCATTGCTGGAAGTGTTCAAGGCCAGTTTGGATGGAGCTTTGAGCAACCTGGTCTAGTGAAAGGTGTCCCTGCCCATGGCAGGGGGTTGGAATGAGATGATCTTTAAGGTCCCTTCCAACACAAAGCATTCTGTTCTGTTCTATTCGCAGTGCTGATCCTCTGGGCTTACACACTGACAGTATATCCGAGCTTCTTAAGATGGTAGCATGACAGATACATGAGGCGGAGGCTAGGGGAAGGGTGTTGTTTTAATGTCCTATTATTCCCGACTGCCCCCCCCCATCCTGCTGACTGGAAGGAGGAGGGGAAAGGTGAGAAGCTGTGTGGAGGTTTGGCTGTTAGCCAAGGCTAATCCACCACATAGACTAATCTCATAGCTTCCCTTAGTAATACTTTCGTACCTTTAGTAGCTAGAGTCAGAACTTGATGTTCTGGAAAAGCCCTGTTAATCTTACCTCTACATCAGTTTGTCATGACGGTATACAGAAATCAAGTTTGAATTCTGAGAGCAAGGGAAGCTGTTGTCAAGACTTTTTTCATAGAATCATAGGATGGTTAAGGTTGGAAGGGACCTGTGGAGGTCATCTGCTCTGGCATCTCTGCTCAAGCAGGGTGCCCTAGAGCTGCTTGCCCAGGACTATATCCAGATGGCTTTTCCATATCTCCAACTGTATGGAGATGCCACAACCTCACTGGGGAACCTGTACCAGTGCTTGGTCACTCACAGAAGAATTGTTTCCTTATGTTCAGACAGTACCTCCTGTGGTCCAGTTGGTGCCTATTGCCTCTGGTCATGTCACTGGACATCACTGAAAAGAGCCTGGCTCCATCTTCTGTACACCCTCCCTTTGGGCATTTATATACATTGATGAAATTCCCCCCTGAGGCTTCTCTTCTCCAGGCTGAAGAAGCACAGCTCTTGTCAGCTTTTCCTCAGAGAAGAGGAAGAGCTCACAGTCCCTTCATTATCTTTACGACACTTTGCTAGACTTTCCATTATGTCCACATCTCTCATGTACTGGGCAGCTCACAACTGGACACAGTACCTCGGGTGTGGCCTCAACAATGCTGAGTGGAGGGGAAGGACCGTCTCCAAGAACCTGCTGGTAGCACTCTGTAGCTCAGAATACCATCAGCCTTCTTTGCTGCATTGCTGGCTTGTGTTCAATGTGGTGTCCACCATGTCCCCTAGATCCTTTCCTGCAAGATTACTTTCCTGCTGGTGGTTCCCAGCAGGTACCTGGGGTTGTGCCTCCCTAGCTGCAGGATCTTGTACTTCCCTTTGTTCTTCATGAGGTGAGCTCTGTCATCCCATTTCTCCAGCCTGTTGAGCTCTGGATGGCAGCACAAACCTTTGGTGCTTCTTTTATCAAAGCTGCTGGAGCATTCAAAGTGTGCAGGTTTCCCTGGAGAGAGAACTCTCCACTAGCCACAGATGGATGGCATAGATCCCACTCGAGCTTCAGTTATGTAAGGTTTAGAAAGTTTCAGGTAAGATTTTGTTTTGCCTTTGGAGTAATAAAGTAGTTTCTGTTCATGTTGGCTACCAAAAGAAAAAATTTTCATCTGGAAAAGAGTCTATATAACAATTTGCCCAATTGAGTCAGGGAGCTTAAATGAGAAAGTCAACTCTTAACTTTACAGAAATGCAGCCAGGAAAAATGTAGAGCTAAGAAACACACCTGGTGTGAGTTGCATACTAAGTACGCTGAAACAGAAATCACCTTGTCTTCTTGAATAAGCTGGCAACTTTAGTTAAAGGCAAATAAAACCAGTATATTTGTGTTTGATTTCGTAAGAATTATTTGCATATGAAAAATTGCAAAGGGAATATTGACAAGGCAACAAGTTTATGTATTGACACCAGCTTGGTGAAGACAATTTCCATAATTAATCATGAAATTCTTAAATTAACATGTTCAGTAGACAAATTAAAATGAAACTTATGCAAAAAAAGGTATCTTTAAGGAGTTTTTCTCTCACTAGTGCTCCTGGACATCATGAATTCTTTCTGCTAGGGTATGTCAAGGTAAACTAGGAAGCCAGATCTAGACACCGAGCAGTAAATTCAGTACTTCATTCCTGCAGTGTTTGCAGTAAGTTTATTCTGCCTGGTCAGTGACAAATCTCTCTGGTGTAACTGATGTTGCGTGAGCCCTGTCTAATCTCATTCTACTTGGAAGACAGCAGAGAAAGAGTCTCCTCACTCTTGAAGGAGTCTCCTCCTATTCTGGAGGCTACAGCATGATGACAGATTGGATGTGGAGGCTGCTCTGAGGTGCTGAACAATGTACAGGTAACTCAATCCAATCAAGATCCTTGTTTAGGAAATAGAGGGGTGGAATGCTTGCAGGATGGACAAGGACTGTGTAGTAAATAACTCCATTCACAAAGGTAAATCAGAGTCCTAAATAGTCATGGTTTGTGCTGATTTTGTTTTCAGAGGATGTCTCTAGGTAGTTTAACTGAGCCCTTTGTTGATGCCAACAGCATGCTTACAAAGAATAATTATTTCAGCTTTAGCATATGTAGACTGGAGTTTCACACTGTGAATTAGAAATACATGGAAGAAACATCATGATAATCTACAGTGATGAAAGTAGTATCATAAGTCTATAATTATGAGTGATACTTCTGGATTCACAAGCCAAATTCAGGGATGACCTGTTGAAATCTAAGTAAGCAAATTTCATATCTTCATAATATTCTGTAGTATAAAATCTGTATCTCTTAGGCTGTGTGCATTACAACCTTGTTTTATACTGGTTTTTCAATTGGATCACTGCTTACTCTAGGGTTTAAGAATTTACTTGTTCAGAGTCTAGCAGAATGGTAGTAAATTAAAAGAATGGTCCTTGAATTTCTTGTATTCTTCTTTAGCATGGGAACATATAAAATATATAACAGTAGAGATAACTTTGTTCTTATGTGTAGTGGCCAAATTAAAAAGGTCACGTTTAAAAGTTGCAGTGTAAATGAATCAGACTCTATGGAGTAGGAAAGGAATAAAAGTAATAGCAGCTCAGTCTCCCTTGCACCCATTTGCATTCACCTCTCTTTTAAGCTCAGTGAAGCTGGATTTTAATGAACTATGCACTCTGATTTTAAAACACTAATGTAAACTCTTCCAGCTTTGATTAGCAGAGCCAGCAAGGTATTAATTTTTAAATGGAATGTTCTGTGCAGGGAAGCTTTCTGCCAAAGTGTATCTTAAAGTCCTACTTAAAATGGAAATCTAAACAAGGTGCCAAAGGAAGAAAACGAAATAGGATTGTCAGCTAAATTTCACTAGGAGAGATTATATAATGAAGACTGTACTATTACATTACAGTGAAATCCTACTCTAAGAATTACTAATAAAACACTAAAACATTTAGTAGGCTCAATTATGCATATCTGAAACCATTTTTTAGAGCTCTTCATTTAGCCATAGTTTTTAACTGAGTAAGAACGAACAGATGCATTAACTCCCTTGCCCACTTCCCAAGTCTTTATTCCACCATTAAGTTTGCTAAACTGAAGTCTTCTGTGCTTATCCTGCAGCCTCCTCTCAGAGGGTGGATTCGAAGTTGGATATGGTTACCTCTCAGTCTGCACTAGAGCTTGAGAGAGCAACAGCAGTGCCAACATACACATGTGGGCTGTCCTTGTTTTGTTTCGTGCACTGTTGGTTTGTCACAGGCTATTTGCTCTGAATCATTGTAGAGTTTAGGAAATGGATGACTGTTTAAAAGTGATGTGAAATTTAATGGCCACCATGGCAGGGATTAAACTAAAGCAACGAGTATATTCTTGAGTATACAGAGGTTCATATTTAGGAAGGGATTCAGTGTTTTGAGACAAGATGAATACATGTTTCCCCATGCCCGGACAATTGTATCTTGCAGTTTAAGGACGAGTCTGTCCTTTTTTTAATTATGATAAAGAGTTTTCTTAGTCTTTCTTTTATGAAGATCACTATGCCCAATGTGGTTTGAAAATTCCTTACCCATTTATAGTTTGTAGCCATCTGTCGTCAGTGGTCTGGTAAGACATAATGACTGTGCCCTGTTCTCAGGCATTAATATGCTGCTCTGAAGCATCTTTTTCCTAAGCCATACCAGTCATTATAATTTACCCTACATTCATTATGCTTTAATTACCTTATCATCTGTGCAGATTATGGTTCAGTATTAAAAATAAAAGGGAGATTCACAACATTTGTCAGAAGCAACTGCCCTTTTCACATCTTCACCTGCTGTGTATGTTTCCTCAAAATTAGGCTGAGGTTCATAATTGGAGAAATGAAAGAGGTTGTGTGAATAGAAAATCAATTTGGTGCACAGGAACACATGGCACAAAGAATGCTTTCTTATGAGATATTGTTGGGGTTTGCCTTTTTATGTACCTGTAATTATTTATGCTAATTATAATTAAAGTATCTCTCCCTTAGATACACTTGAGGCTGGCAATTAGCTGTGACCTCTAAACCCAGAAACTTGTAAGAAACAAGTTAGAATTAGAATACTAGAAAATACAAGCCCTTTTATGGGATCTTCTGCATCCAGGTCTGCATTGTTCCTAAAACAAAGGCAGTGTTCTCACTCCGCTTTACAGAAGAACAGTTTCAATTTTGAGCAAAGGATTTGACTATTCTAGTCATGTACTATCGAGTTATATCATCAGAGAACATGTTTAAAACCCCCTTTAGTTGAATTTAATCTAGATCCTTATCTGGGTAAATTGCCTTGTCTCTGAATCCAGCTGTGCTATGTTCACACACTAGCTGAAAATCTTGATGGATTATGAGCAAATGAAAGTATCTGATTACCTAATATGCAGGGTAACAACTCCTCTGTGGTATGGAATGGACAGTCCTATTGGTTGGGAGTCTTTATCCCTCACTGCTGGATGGTAGACTTTCCTGTTTCCTCATCGCCCTGTTCCTACTCTTTGCTCAAGAAGGCATCTCGCCCTGAAGATTTACACTGTGTCACTATTTGACTAACGAGTCAAGACCACGGCATTTTAGTGCAAAATTCCTGCCATGTAATTTTGAATCATGCACAGAAATATGCTCTACCTAGAAGCAGAGAAGAATCTGCAGAGGGATATTCCTTATTACTTTTTATAGGAAACTAAGGCAACAGAAGTAACTAAGGTGACATTGATCAGACTTTTTTTGGCTTTTGATATTTTCTTTGCGCAATGGCAGACAGCACAAAAATTATGATGTTATTCAGTCTAATGCTTAATTTGTGTGGTTTCATCAGTTATTTTCACTCAACTTTGGCTGATGGGGTAGAGATGTGAAAGAAATATGGCAATGTCAAGATGTTAAATCAAATTATTCTTTTGCCTGAAACATGTGGAGACAGCCTTTGAGTTCCAAGTCCTACACTAAGGGATAGGTGTTAATTTTATCCAAATCTTTACATGTTCCACATGCTGTTCACTTCATGCTGTGACAGTACATGCCCATTGTTTTCACACCACATTGTCTGGGCTCTACTGTTCTAGTCCTGAATGTTTTGACTGTTGGTTTGTTGTTTTTTTATTTTTTTCTCTTGCATGTGTTCTCATGGATCATATGGGCTAGATGTATCTTGATGCAATTGGGAGGCTGTAATCATGAAATTTTAGACAGATACCATGTCAAACAAGGACATGTGGCACAGTGTCTGCGGCAAGGGAGGAAGGCAGGGCTGTGATATGAAGCTATGGGCACCAATTGTGATTGCTAATAGATTATTTTGGAGAAGAGTAAGATTGCTTGTAGGGTTTGTGACAAATCCTGCAGATGTGCATATTGGTGTTTTTCTGATAACCTTCTTGGCTACAATGCTGTTATTCTCATGTAAAATAATAAGCAAGATTTTCAACGTCTGAGGACCATGTTACATTGATGAAACACTTCCTTTGACTCTAATGATTGGAAAAGAGTCATGAGTAAATTAAATTGTACTTGATAGCATTTGCCAGGCTGCCAATGCTACATGTAAACTTGAATTTTTCTTGTAAAGGGGAGGAGAAGTATCATATGATAGGCCTGTAGCTGAAATTACTCACTAACTTCAGACCTTCTGTACCTACATCACAGACCACTCAGTGTCTTAGTTCTTCAGTTACAGAAAAGTACAAAAGTATTAGCTTAATTAAGATTGAAGTTTGTACATAATATGGTAATGAGACATAAATATTCTTAAAATCAGGTATTCTCACCGCACTGTTCAAGGTTATGTGTATACAGTAATGTTCTGATGTGCAGTTGAGGTAAATCAGATCGGCCCTGAAAAAATCAGCTGGGATCTAGAAACCCTATATCTCTATGCACATCCAAGATGAGACAACCTCTACATTTGGATAAAGTGTCAGATGGCATATTCTGCCTTCAGACCTTGGTTGGATGTCCATATTATATTTGAATGGTACTGTATAGGCTGACAGCCTTATTCTTTCTTGGTGCAGGGATCTTTGCATCACCTTTCACAGATGAAAGCAAGTGAAATATCTATGCATTGAGTAGTGTTAGCCTGACCTGGATTAGAAGGAAATAGATTCTGATCTCTTCTAAAATGAAGAAATATTCCTAAAAGATGCTTCTAGTTTTATCCTGTCATATACATGTAACTTTTATTCAAATTATTTTTGATGTATGGATACTGGCTAAATGGGTGAATTTTAATACTAAAAACATATGTTTATGTGTTTCCTTGGATTATACATCTCTATATTGGATATTGGACCTTGGACAGGTACACTTTAGGTCAGAGATCTGTTACTAAGTGCCAGTTTTAAAGAAGATAGACTCTAAGGAGAATTATAATAAACAGACGCAAAAATACTATAAGAGATTGAGTAACATACTGAAGAATAAACAGCAAATTAGCGATCTTTTCAGTTTGCAACCCTTTGGTATTGCATTTTATATTTATTTCCACATTGTCTTATACTTTTCATCTGTTGGCAGTATCATAAACATATAATAGCATAAATTACAATTAATAATATTCCATGATAGTCCTAAAAGAATATTTGTTGAGGATAAGTGAATAAAATGAGAAAAGGTCCTGATTAGTTGCTTGGCAAGATTAAATAAATTAATTACAAAGAATGGAAACATAACTTTTGTGAACCTGACTTACATTTAGCTCCACCTCCTCCTACAAAGATAAATAACCACAAAGAATATTTAAACTCCCCTTTTAAAGATTTCATCAGTATAAAAGATTTGCCTCAGCAATGATTTTGTGAGACTGAGCTCTCTAAACACTTCTGAAAACAGTATGCTGTAGATAATAAATGAGTGACTCAATGCTTTGGCACACTCCTGAAAATGCGAACAGTTTGGACCCCAGCTATCAGCCACAGATGGGGACTTCTCAAGCTTTGAACATTCAGTAGGAGACCACAGTAATTCTGTAAGCATGCCAAAGAAAACATCAGGTTGTAAAAAATAATTAGTCTTGTAGTCTTCTAGGCTCTTCAGTCCTTAAACTTTATGTTTGATACACTCTCTCCTGTCCACCTGATTACTGGGCCTTCAGGATCTTTCCTTATTAAAAGCAGTGGCAAAACTCATCCCAGAATGAGAAGTAGCTCTCAATTTTCTACATAGCCTTTAATAATGTCAACTTTGTTGTCTTATTTGTAGATTGGCTGAAGATGTTTCATATGGAAGTTGCAAATTGTATGGACCATTATTGACAGTATTAACCATTTTACATGGTAAGCGATACTTTACTCACAGCAGAGTTTATCAATATCACCAGCAGTTTCATTTTTATTTTGCCCACTTCTATTAAACTGTGTGCTGAACATCCCCTTTCTCTACTGGGCCCCAAGAATGGGTAACAATGTGGAAAGGATTGCAATGATTTTGCTGTTCAGCTGACACACAGCTTTCTATCACCACGTCAACTGAAGAGACTCAGGCCATCGTCCAGGGATGATCAAGGTACATTTGACAAAATGCCAGGCAGGGACCATACTGTGCTGATGCTAATGAGTTGGAGAAAGCATCAGTCAGGGAGGAGAGGCTAGGATGACATTTCTGACACCTTCTGATCAAGGCTTTTGATTTGATGTTGTGTCTGGCTGTGATACTGAATCCTTATTTTCTCTTAGATAATCATTTTGCAGCATTCTGGGCAGGATTTTCTGGGCAGTATTGTAAGTGTTTTCTGTGTGTAGACCTTCCCCCATGAGCTGTGAATCAACCATTTCAAGGCTTCATTAGCCCTCGCAGTGTAACTACAAGTATAACTTGTTCGAAACAGAAACGATGACAGGTGCAGCCCACACAAGAAGTAGAACCTTGCAGGGCTGCTTATTACAAGGCTACCCAAAGTGTTTAGTGGTTTCCAGATGATTACAAGACATCAGTTTTCACTAACAGAATACACACTGTGTGGGAGTAGTCTGGAGATAAAAAAGGCAGGATTCAGCCCAGATTATTGGAAACCTAATTAGCACACCTAGCAAGGTTTAAAATGCAGTTTAGCTAACCAAATTCAGATGTCTAAGTGACTTGAACTAATCCTGAGTCACAACTGACTGAACTGGGAAGATCTTCCTCGATCATAGTAGGAACTTAGAAGCTTGTATACTTCTAGACGCTCTCATGTACACATCTAAAGGTAAGTGTTTTAGTCTGAAGTCTAATCACACTTTGCCTTTCTGGATCATATTCTGACGTTGGTAGAGTCAGCAGAGGTTGACCTCTTCAAAATCAAGAAAGGCTTTTCAGCTAGAACAACTTTTCCTAAGCTTATTTTTCAGTTCCAGGTTTAGAATATCCTGTGTCCTGTGAAATTCCATATGATCTGTAAAGACACCTCTCTTAGTGGGCACCATAAGAAGACAAAGCCAAAGTACTATTTCTGACTAATTTTTAAAGTTTATGTGTGTGTGTGTGTGTTCTTTAATTTAACTATAACTTAAATTGGAAAATTCTAAATTTAAGCTTAACTATTAGAGAAAGTAAGCATTAATTTCAACTTGTGAAATTAATAACAATAAGCCTGCATTTGAGAAGCATATATCTCTAAGTAATCTTTATCTATTTGTAATTAGATATAGTAAAATACAGGGTTTCCTAATAATTAATCATTGTTATTTTTCCCTGTGGTATTTTGGAAAAATATACTAGGCTTAATTGTGACAATATAAAGAAAAATAACTTCTATATGAGGCTCATCGTTTTGTTGGTTAAGTATTCCAAATGGCAGAAATCTGTATGAACTCAGCTCCAAAATCTACCATAATTCTCTGCAGTGAGTACTCTGTGGGCATCCAACATGTCTGTTCCAAAAGCCTGGAAGAGTGGCTAGTGCTCACTGAGTGTGACTTAGTTGAGCAGTGAATTCTGGACATTGTGTTCCTCTTATGATAAGCAGGGGGAGAACTGTAGGTTCTGTCTACCTGCCTGGCAGCTTAGTAGAGACCCTGTAGAGACATGTGCAAAGAGATGAAATATTTTTTCCCTTGAAGAGCATGTGATAAATAGTCATGACAGCAGTCAAAGGAAGGAAGATATTTTTAACTTTTGCTCAGGCACACAGCTTAAGCAGTCTTGTACAGGATAACAGAGGAAATCTGTGGTAGAACAGGAAAATGACTTTTGCTACCCTGAGTCACAGCTCAAGGCCTTGCCAAAAAACATGCTTTGCCTCCAGTGAAAGTTTCCTCTTTTTCCACAAGAATACTTGTCCTGTAAAAGTAGGGTGATGCCAGTTCCCTCTTCCTTTTTAATATTCTTGCTATTATGCTACTGCTGGTCAGACAAAGAATATCAAATAAATAAAACCACCTCCACATGTCAGTAATGTACTCTTTAATTAATCATACTGAAGGTAATTACTTTAAATGGGTAAATCTGAGGCGGTACATTTTTCCAGCTTTTGAAATATGTGAAAAGAATGATTAATTCCATCATGGAAAGTAAGTTAAGTACAGGATTAAAATGATCTGAAATCTATGTATTCCACAAGGAATGAGAAAAATAAGTAAGAACCTTGCCAGTCTGATAATGAGGCCGTGGGAGGTGAAAAATATCAATAAAGAGTGCAAAAAAGCTGATATAAGCAATGATCTCATGAGCTTCTATTTCATAGCATTACACTTTTTTCTTTTAAAGTGACATAGTCAAACAATCTTAGACATGATCTTGTTTTAAGGTAATTCTAATTTTGTTGAAATGCATAGCTTCTGCAAGAAGATATTTTGTTCTTAAAATATTTCACTTCAGGAGAGATTTTATAAGAAAGTAAGTACTTATATGCTGTTACACCCTTCATTTCCCCCTAATGTCTATGCAGGAGCCAAGAAATCTTTCCATACATCTTTTTTTTTTCCCCCCAAGTAATTTTAGTAATTTTATTGCGATGAAACCAAATCAACTGCTTGTAGTCAACTGGGAATTAAATGTAATTCAAATACTAGTAATTTAAGTGGGCCACAGATCTCTTTCTGAGATTTGACTAATAAAGAAGGAGAGGAGTATTTCATCCAGATTGTTAGGTTCCCAAAATTTCTGGTTTCAGAAATATAATTAGAAGACTGGTTATTATACTTTGATTTTGCCTTGTTTGAGGCTTGCTACTGTGACATCTATCAAATGGCTTGAGCTAAAGCTCCATTTCTTTTCCTAAATCCCCTCTCCCCCTCCTTCTCTCCTTCTGTTTTCCATGGATCTTTACGGCCTGCCCCTCTTTTGTTTAATCAACGCTTCCCAGAACTAGAATCCTGTTTTGCAGCAAAGGAAGGAAACAAAAAGAGGTGGCCTAGAGAAAATATTTTTTCCATTTCAGTTCTGGCCCCTCTACTGCATAAATGGGTCTGATTCTTCCTGACATCAGTTGCTAGTAGTTCCATATGCAGCTCTGTCTTCTCCTGTCATCACTGCCTTACAAAAATCAGTCAAGTGCTGCTTGTGCGCTGTCCAGTCCACAGAGTGAGTATAAATGAAAGAAAATGGGGAAGGTCAGCATCATGTTGAAAAGGAAGGAAGTAAGGAAGACTTCTTGTGTTACCAGAAGTGAGAGGATTCTGGAAAGGAAATAAGAAGCCATAGCCTGGTAGGAGCATCCAGCCAGCTCTGCCGTAGTTGGAGGAGGAACAGTGCAAATGCAGTTACTAGACATATATCGAGGTAGAATCAAAATGATCCAATCTGAACCTTACTTAGCACAGTTCTCTAGTACCTCTCCCCTGCAGGCCCAGAGATGTTCCCAAACGTGCTCAGAGTCCAGAGGGATGGCTGAGACATGTCAGGTAAACAACCTGAAAGGATACACAGGCTCAGAACCCTATTCTTTCTTAAACTGACAGGTCGTAGCCTTAGAAGCAAAAAGGAGATGCAGATGGTTGCCTTGAGCTACCCTTACAGATCAGCAGAAACCTGCAGAGCTTTCCTGGCAGGAATATGCAGAACATACCAACTTGCAAGAGATGGCAAATCAATAGGAATTTTATCACTGTCGTCTGTGTGTGAAATCTTAAATTCCATGGTGCCTTAAGTCACAGTTATGTGTCATGTTAACCTAGCTTTGAGAAAGTAGTAAGTTTCAAAGAGTAGGAGGTGTCTTTAAATGGAAAAATCTCTTATATTTGGTCAGCTATTAATCTGAACAGAGTTTAAGACTTTCAGACTTGTTGATTCATATATCAAAAGCAGGGCTGTGATGTGAAAGTTTATGGCTAAAGGCAAGGTAGGTTAATTACTAACCAATGGGCTGAATCCTAAGTAGTCTGCAATGTGATTTAAGATTTATATAATGGTGATTAATTAATACACACTCTGGATTAAGACCAGGTAGTGGGGAAAAAATGCTGGTGGAACAATAAAGATGATAATTTACTGTGGTTATATAGAAATGTTCTCTTCTGTTTTTCTGAAGTGCCCAATAAGTCCCTGAGAACCAGGGACTTTTTTGTAAGTAAACATACCATTATGTCTACTGCCATTTGATGCATATGGTGTATTTTCCAAGGTGTTTCAAGATAAGCCTCCGCCTATAAACATGAGCTGTCTTCCTCAACCAGCTCTTAATTATAACAGATTTCTAACTGAAGCCTGTTGACTTATACATGTACCTTTAGATTTCAAGGTCTTTCTTGCAGAATCATGTTGCATTTGCTCCAGATTCTGCAAAATGATCTCTTCATAAAATTAAGGGTATTCTTATTGGAAATAAATCCTCATTTTCAGACTTAAGAAGGGATTTGGCTGCTGATCAATGACTTTCAGATGACTTTGTTTTCTTCCATGAGCTTTGAACCAAAATGGCTTTCCTTTGCTCAGATGAGGCTATGGGAAATGTGAAATAGCTATAAAACCTGAAGTTCAGTATTTAATTTTATCAGACTAATTGATTGTTGATAGAGATCCCTTCCCTTGCCTTTCCTTACCCTCCCTTGCCTTTCTTTGCTTTGTCTTCCCTTTGTCCCTACAAAGGGGAACAGAATATATAGGTCTGAACAGAAGCAAAGCAGGGTCAAGGAGAGGGAAGCCACCACCAACCTGCAGAGACAATAGACTGTGTTCTATAATGCTGTACTCCAGCCTGCTTCTGTTAGCACAGAAGGAATTGACCCCTGAAGACTATCTTGTCTATTAAAATAATTTAAAAATTACCCTCTGTTCTTCAACAACAGTTTATAAGTGGTTTGTTTTTTCCTATTATTCCACTTTAAATATCCTTTTTATTTTTTCAAAACAACTGCTG